GGAATCCTGGAAACAAAGGGCTGGGGCTGGTACGAAGAGGAGGTATCCTCTCGTGAGCTGCAGCGCACCTCGTTGCAATTCATACCGCAGTGCAATCTCACATGCAGGTATACAAAAGCCAATCGTTTCTGCATGCACTGACACTGATGACAACAGTTCAACACATAAACTTCCCTCAGTAGTCAGCCGGGGTGCACGTAGATACGTATTCTCCGACTATGTAACATGAGTTCTCACTATCCACCGAAGACCGTCTTCAGATGCAATAGAGTCAAAATATTTAATGTGAAAGCTTCAAAAAGACAGCTGCGCCCCTTTCCAGTATTCAGTCAGCTTTGTACGGCTACCCATGGGTTTCAGGCCGGAGGCAAGAGGCGGCGTGAGATGAGTTGCAACGCCCCGCGCTGAGACTAGTGTTGCGAGACAGCCCCACATACTAGCACACCAAAACACCTTTTCTAATTGTTTTTTCATGCAGCAAAGGTTTGGGTAGTTGTCTACAGTATTCTTTTATGCAGAAAACTGCTGAGAAACTACTTGTTTCTCTACTAGGCAGCCTGCACGCAGGTAGAAGTACCTGTGTGAGCTTCGTACAGAGCAAGAGCCACAGTTGAGACAGAGAGTGGTGTCGAGTATGCTACAAGAAAGCTGCTGTAGACACTACAGTTTTCCGCAGACTAGACTTAATGACATTCTTTTCTCATCGATTTAATAATAAATTATTTTTTTCTGACGTATGATACACCGTGTTCTCAATTCTTCCTACACAGAGTACGAAAAGAGACTGAGAGGTTCTACACACTAGAGCGGACACAGACCGCGCACTGCAGCAGTGTGAACGAAAGCAGGAAAGCACGGGAGTACAGTGAAGCTAAAAGTATTATCCAGTAATAATTTCTGTACAAATGAACAGGAGAGTGCGGACACACTCTCAGGATTAGGGACTCCGGGGCTGTCGGCCCCACGTGAGGCGTTACAGTGCAGAACTAGGAGAGAGGGGGCAGCTAGACAACCACTATCGAAAGTGTTTCAACATATCTAGTAGCAATTGCTTTTTTATTTTAAATAACAAACGGACGATATGATTTGTCTACGCAGAACTGCTTGCATTCCTCTCAATTCCAATTCAGCGTGCACGGACCGCTGCCGCTTGCCTTGAGCTGTATGGCCCCCCCATTCTTTGTTGTTTTTCGGGATTACCTATGGTTTCTCTGGAAAGTCATTTAAGACTATAACTACTGAGTTGTTCCAGGTGCGAAGGCCTGCTTCGTGTAGAGCCTCAGATACAGAGCTGTGGGCCCACTGGGCACTTCCCCCCTGATTTAAACAGTTATATTTCAAGCGCTGCACATGGGACAGCAGCCCGGGAATGGAGGCGGACGGGACAACCCGCACGATATACTATCTGTCCTTGAGCCTGGGCTTAGAGCGACAATAGAGGCTGCAGAGCGGGGGGAAGCCGAGACCCAAGATGACTTGTCGTCAACAGTACAAAAAAGGAAGAAATTTCCCGTTTCTTCCGTTGTCATCCGTTCATCACTTGCTTTGCTGCTCTCTTTTATACTCGTGGGGGGATGGGTGGTAAATGCGAGAAGGGAAAAACCTCCACTGGGGCCCCCGGTGCCCGCCGATCTCGAGGGTATGCAAGAGACTTTGGCCACATTAGAGAAAACTGCTGAACGTGTTCGCACAAAGTGGAATGAAATGTCTGAATCTGTGCAAACAGCTTTCCGCACATTCTATTCCCAAGGTGACCTTCAGCTTGCATTGGATGCCTCCCAGTCCTCGTCAGATACTATTGGATTCCTGGCAGAAAGATACGTAAAGAAAATCAAGTATACGCCATTACCTGAAGAAGAAGAGAGCAAAGACGAGAAAGAAGATTATGCTTTATGTAATATGGTTGTCACAGCTACGCTTCGTGCTGTTGAAATTCGTCTGGATCAGCTGGCGAAACTGGAGAAATTTGCAGCAGAGCACCCAGGCACTC